CCGTGTACATCGCCAATCTGCACACATAACGGAGCAGGATGCGTGTATAGTCTGGATGTGGCAACAGTGGCGAATATGGGCGATGAGTGTTTGAGCAGCAGGTCTTCAGCTCTAAATTTGATAGAATTTCTTATTTCTGCCTCTTTTTTGTCTTGATGCTCTGAGGAGTGTAAAGTAGGAGGTGTATTTCATTCAGAATGGCAGCTGTTGTGGACTAATACGAGGTGGAAAAATTGCTCAGCAACAATAAGCACGTTTTGTCTTTTATTTTATGTTGTATTTCCAAACTGCACCAAAGGCTCCAGATGTAGAATTGTTCTTTATTTTATTTTTTTACAATTCATTTCTTACATGGAGTATGGTGTCCAGGCACAGTGAAAGGTCACAGATGAACATGCAGAAACAAACCTGCACTCTAGTTAAATGATGAAATATGTCAGTGAAAGAGCAACTTGTAATTAGACGTGATTTGGCTCTGCTTTGAGGGCGAAGTCCCCTGTTTCACAGCCTCAGTGATGCATCGTGCATAGGCTTCATATGCGCCTTTCACAGGGAGCCACAAAGGCCAAAAGGCGCTTCCAGCCCTGATTTCATTTCTCACACACACCTCCAGGCACTTAGCAGGGTCACTTCTCCAGCTCTGCTCACTGTGGCAGCGAGAGTCAGGCAACATATGGCACCAAGAAACTCAACCAATAGGACAAGATCAGGGCCTGAGAACAAAAAGAGGGAACCTTTTTTCGGTCTATCTTTTTTTGTTCAAATTAAGCCCTTGCAGGACTCTGTGTGGCCATGTGGCTCAGATATGAGGATTACAAGCAGACAGGCCTGCAATGCATGCGTAATAAGACAAAGTAATGGGGTTCACACCCAAAACTGGCGGATAAAGCGATCACAAGGCCAAATATCCAGTCCACACGTGTGCACAGAGTACGAGGCCTGTGCAGAGAACACGTGTGCACCCCCCCCCCCCCCCCCCCCCCCGGACACACCGGGGTAGAGAATGGTGCCTTTAGAGCTTTGAGGCGGGTTTGAAGCAAAAAAATAAAAAAATAAAATAGGATTTTGCAATGTTTCACATGATGAACATGGAAGCATTAATGTGTATGCACGCAGGGGTCAATGCAGAGGGTGAAAACGGAGAAAGGAACGGCACGTTTGCACAGAGAAAATCGTGTTTATGTTAAAATTGGGAATTTGAAATTAGCCTACTTTTTTTTTTTTAAATTTAGGTTAAACAATTTTGTGTTTATTTGTTTTATTTATTGAACTAGTTGCACCACACATCACACACACACACACACACACACACACACAGAGAGAGAGACAGAGAGAAGAGACAAAGTTGTGCAGTGTATTTTAGAGTTATAATTTTCCTTTCAAACATAAAGACGACCGGTTGAGCATTAGCTGTTATTATGATTATCCTCGACTTCAGCACAATAACAGCAGTAATGTGCAGTGGGCTGCTGAAGCATCACACGGTCCACATGACTGAAATCTGCCCTTTTTCACGCGCACTAACACAGTATTTGTTTTATGCAAAATGCAGTTTGCTGATTGTCTTTAGAGTTTGAACGAAGGCTGCAGTATGTAAAATTGTTCAGTTTGGCTCCTCCGTGCTGTGTAGTCCATTTGAAGAATAAAATGATCGTCTCTTTTTTCCAGGGATCCCTGGAGAGACATTCAGCGGCCTCACAACACGTGGCTTACTGTAGGTAATACTGACTATCCGCTCTGACTTTCACATCACACACAGGCTTCCGTAGTCAGGTTGGATATTTTGGGAAGTTTGATGGAATAATATATTTCAAAATAAATTATAAACAACTGTAAGATATATGATGGGCTATAGTAGTTATTAAGTTATGGTGAAGTAGCAGTTTTAAGGTAAAATAGGCTACTATTTACAAAGGAGATTGTTTGTAACGCCAACACAGTCAAAGGTTTAAACACGAATATGATGAAAACAGCCACAGCCCAATAATTATGCCATTATTTTGTCAAATTCATAAATTAGCATGAATGTTCAGTAGCTGTAGTTGCATTACATAAAGGACATGTGGAAAATTAATTGAATGATTTCTGCAAACCGAGATTTTTAGCTCCACACACTGCAGTGTTGCTGTGTGTGTGTGTGTGTGTGTGTGTGTGTGTGCGCGCGCGTATATATAAAGATATGTGTGTGTGTGGGTGACAGAGTGTCTGCCGACAGGCCTACCCCATCACCCCAGTGTGCCACTTCTATTCTGGTCATTTCAGAAATACACGTATCCACCTTTAAATATGGCTTCATGTCATGCGACTCCGCGTAGCTGCCGTTGTTGCTTGAAAAAGCAGTATTCAATCTGATAATTCAATCTGTGACATAAAATGGCGTAAAATGAAATGTTTTACCCGGCTCTGCACCTTCGCATAAATTATTTTCAATTAGAGGCGCCGGATTTGTTGACGTCGTGCACGCCATGACCAATGACACAGCCTGATGAGGTTTATTTGAATGGTGGAGAGAAATAACCTGGAGCTCGACTGATGCCTTAAATGTATTTTTGGATTTTATCTGAGCTCACGTGAGTAAAAGAAAAGCGGCCATGTAATTGTGACACTGAGTGTCTTTTGGTTTAAACTTTTGCAGAAGAGAGACACTTTAAAATCTCAACAAGCTGCATTTTCTGAACTCACAGCGTGAATAATTTCTCCTGTGAAATGCATTTTGAACATTGTGAGGATAAAAACCCACAAGACAAATATTGAAATTGTATCAATTTATTAGAATTATATAACAGCTGCACAGTCACGAATAAGCCAGTGTTAATGAAGGGACTATTAATGATAATGGGGAAATAAGTGCAATCTGCATATAATTATCTTTCTCTTTATCCAGCTTGGAAATCGTGAAAATATATATCTGATGTAAAAACGTGTCATAAAGCTCACAGCATAGTCTGCAGCCATTATAAATGTTAATATTGCACCATTCCTTTGCAAAATAATATTGTGATAAATTACTCATGAGTTAAAACTCCAATGTGAATGATGGGTTTTTTGAACAGGCAATAAAAAACATTAAGATGAAAAAATAACAATAGATTTTCAAAATGTTTGCAAATTGGTAAATTGTTGGCTATTATTGTACCTTATAATACTGTAAAATATGATTATAAAAAATACTACTGAAATGTGGCCATTATGTAATTAAGATATTATTTATAAGAACATGTGGAAATGTGTATTTTAGTATTAATGTGAATTATTTAAACTACTAATCCAACTGACTGAGCATTTTATGAAATGTTCATGTTTTTTATATTTATGACTGAAGCTGTGTGTGTGTGTGTGTGTGTGTGTGTGTGTGTGTGTGTGTGTATGTTTTGTGCATTTCTACTTGAGTCTGGGTCAATATCTCATATTGTGTGAAATTATGTATCCAAACGTGAAAGTTCACACATTAGGTACACACGTGTGTAACCAGTGCAGTAGCATTCTGACAGCTGAGGCAGGGCCTTGCATTGTCCTTGTGGATTGAAACAAAGCACCTTGACGAAGATCTCTGTTGTGGTGACAGCAACAGAACATCTTTTTAAAAATCTACATAGATTCTGACAGTGGAAAAAGACATCCAGCTGTTTATTGTAAGCTGGAGGGAGAACAATGCCAGTGAGACTTGTTGTTTGCTAAGAGGGATGTAGCCATCTCTGCTAATGCCTGCGTGTTGCCAGTCAAGTCATGTAGGAGTGTTCAGGTTTGGGTGTGTGTGATTGAGGGCACAGAATATGAGAATATCGCCCTCCTCTTTCACTTTCTCTCTCTCATTCTCTCTCAATATCTCTCCATATCTCTCTCTCTGCTTTCAGTCAGTGGAGGTTTACTCGGTGGTGGCGTTGGTGGGGGAGGAACCTGCCACAACAGGGATCTGGGCACACTGAGCAGCTTTAATTAGAAGGGGCCTTGTGCCATGTGCCACCACGGCGTGTGAGAGGAGTGTGTGTGTGTTTGTGTGTGCTACATCATTGTCTTTGCCCGTACAAGTGAAAAAGTGTTTTGTGTGCATTTAGCTTTATTTTTGCAGAAATATTTGGGTCTGAAAGGACATGTCTATTACATGTGCTTCAGTCTGAGTGGGTGGGTATTTGTATTACATCACTGTTAGTGTCTGTGTAAGGACATTTATTTCTTTACACGTGTGTGTGTACATCTTATACCCCTCTGTCTTCATTTTGACACTGACAAAGCATCAGCCGACTGCTTTGGCATCAGATAATGTAAATGAAGACAAACCAGTTTCTTTTGTAGTCAAACAGCCAGGATCTTTTAATTTAAAAATGCATTTGGGCCGTGGCGGGGGGTGGCGTTTGAAGCCATCACCCTCCTATGGAGCCAGTCAGCGGGTGAGGTGGATGCGCCATTGGGTTGGGCGTTGGGCCAGAGAAAGGAAGGTTGGCACCATAGCCGGTTTGAACTGGTTCGACTACTTGTGTGTATTTTTTTTAATTGGTGCCTCTCACTGATTGTTTGACTTTGGGGAGTTTTTGATATTGAGGCATTACTCGTAAGCCAATCAAAGCTTTCTGTGCACAAAGGGAGGTTTCTAATTTGCCAAGGCAGTTTGAGGCAGGGTAAGGGGCCACTTGATGATGTCACAAAATGAAGGGTCAGGACATTTAAGGGACGCTGTAGGTTGAGTGATGAAAGAAGGCCCCAAGTCAGAAGAGTAACATCTTTGTTAAGAGTTGGCGTTAGCTGCTATTAGACTTTTTTTGATCTTTGACATGAACTTAAACTCCTCTCAAATTAATCTCTAATCATTGCAATCATGTGAATCAAAACGATGGGGACATAAAATATTGTTTATATCAACAACTTTCTCCTCTGGTTATAGGTCAGAACTGGGCTCATGTTACTTTACCTGCGAATTGAGAGGGTGGGTAGCCTTAGGGGTTGGTTGTTATCTTTGGTTATCTAGCTGTATGAGTGATGTACATTCTTCATAAAGCTAGATAACCGAAAGTAACAAGAATCCCATTACACTCCTGAAAAGGCATCAAGACCCCAAACGCGCCTTCCTCCAAAAATCACTAACTCGGCCACAAGAACTGCAACTCGAGAGAAGAAAATGGACAACATTTAAAAGAAGATGGGAGCGGAATGCAGCAAAAGGTAGGGTGCATAATGTATGTGTGTGAATGCATGTAGGTGACTAAATCCCAGACCACAACCACTTTAGATAAACTTAACTTTACTGTAAAGCTCTGTCTATATTCACTGTCTAGATCCATCAACATTTTGAAATACAGAAAACCATTGGTAGGCATGTAGAAATAAATTGGACATCAGCGCACAACTCCTTGCAGTCAGTGGCAGTGATCCATAACAGTACGGTTGGTGCAACAGGATCACTTTTAATCTAATAAGCCCCATGATCCTTGTGTGTGGGACTGGATGCAGGGGCTAAGCCATGGTATCACATGGCCGGGAGTGACGGGCTTGCTGAAAAAGACCCACACAGATTTGCCAAAGCTGGTGGACTTTTACAAGTCATTTAACAAGTTGGTGTTAGCTAATCAGTGTGCTAGCCAGTTTGCTCAATGCTCTATTCACATGGCTCTATGAATTTCAGCTTTGATGCTTGCATCTTTAGCATCAAGAGAACATGCCATATGAAAAGAATGTGGTTCTTTTATATCATAGGAGCTGCATACGGTGATATGAATTATACATATGTTCTGACTTGGATGGGATTGTCTGAGTTAAGAATGCTCCCTCCGAGTTAATCCGGGCTCCCAACTCCCTGCCGGCACCTAAGCGAACGGACAAGAATTTGTTTGAGGCCAATTTTGTTAAGTTAGACGTTGTTGATTTCCTTCCCACCTACTTTTTTCTCCTTTATGCATGAAAAGATGTTTGATTTGGGGTCCGGGCCATTGTTTAATTTGAGGTGACAGTTGGCTTGGTTGTGAATGGGCCGTGGCAAAGCCTCTGTTGCATGAGGTGCTACCATGTGGAAAGGCCTGATCTCGCTGAATGCTGTTGTGTGTGTGCGCGCAAGGCTCTGAGGGGGGAGTGGTCCTGGGGCAATCAAGCAGAAAGTGCCCCCAGTGACGAGTTCCATGAGTGAGAGAAGGAGAACAATCTCAGCCTTAAGGTTCTTTGCTCGGGCTCATGGTGGGGAATAATTGGTCAATCAGATCTTCAACCTCAAGGCCTCTGATGACTGATTGAAGGTGTGATTTCTTTTCTGCCCATCAAAACTAGAGGGTCACTCCTGCTGAGAGAGGCCACTAAGGATCTTGCCCAAGGTCTCAAGGCTTTGGAGCTACCGGGTCAGCGGTGAACTCCAACTGTAATACAAATTCCACATGGCGGTTTGCTGTTTCAACATGGCTCAGCTGAAACATCCCCCTCGAGTTTGAATGTATTCAGTTTGACATGGTACAAACTTTAAACAGTTGTACAGGGCCAAAGTGAAACGCCTAAAAGCTTGCGTGGCAACCCCACCTCGCAATGTCAATCTCTTCAAGCCCTGCAGTTGTGCCTGCCTGCCTGCTGCATTGCAGGTGCTGAGTGTGACATTTGAGCTTTGGGCTCAGCTAGCAAGAGAGAGGAACGAGGGCCTTGACAGGAAGTGACAGCCGGAGATGTCACCTTCTTGGATGGCAAAGTAGTACCTGGTTCTCTCTCTATTGTTCTGCTGCTGCCACTGCCGATATGTTTTCGTTACAGTGTAGACTTGTGAGCGCGGCATGGCTGTGATCTGTTGTTCTAAATGATAGATAAATGATTGCACCTGACTAATATTCAATCACTTGTATATCTGCAGGTGCATTTTGCATTTATGCATTTTAACAATTAGAAGGTACAAGGCCAGCAAATCTTGAGCAGTGTAAAGAAAAGTTGCCTCCTTTTGCTTCATTTTTGTGTCACAGTGTTACAGTTTTGGGGCTAAATGGGAACTGAAGTCTTGGACAGATTGTGTTTATACCCTAAGCAGTGCCCTGGGAGAAGCATGTCATGGTGCAAATGCTTTGTGCTGGCTCTGTGTGTGGCACAGTTATATCACTAACACTTCACGCTGGGGACCCCGGGGTAGAGACTGTCTTAGCTTCTGCCTGCCTGAAAATGGCACGAAGATGGGAGAGTTCCTAAAAACCACCTTAGGGCCTTTGCTCTCTCTCCTTTTTCTGTGTCCCATGGCAGAGTCTGAAATAGAATGAGAGCACGAAGAGAAAGGGTGGAGAAGGAAAGAAGGCAGGGAATGGAAAGAAAAGGAGGAGGAGGGTGGTGGGTTTGTCTTAGCTTTCATGCACTAGGCAAGCAGATTTAGACTCCAAGTGTCAAACAGAAAAACAGCCATTGTGGACGGGTCCTACTTGCCCCCCCACCAGTAGACTTTACAGTCAATAGAGCTAGTCCACTTGTCACTGAGGGACAATGCAACCCTTTGCCTCCCTTTCACCCCCGCCGGGTCCGAGCAGCCAGACTGTTTTCTGAATAAGGCCCAGTGATTCTTGCCCCCTTTTCTCTGCCTCTCTTTATCTTGACGGAACACACCAACAGGGTTTGCAAAATGGCTTCGCTGTTGGGCTGGAGCAAAAGGCCAGACCCTGTTATTTTCTACAACATTGGCATTCTCCCCCATATGCTCACAGAGAAGTGAATGTATCTCAGACAGTTGCAAAAGTCAACGGGCCTCCCCAGACAAAAGAGATTAAGTCTGGCAACTTAGCAGTAACAGGTGTACTTTGACTGTGCTCGGACCACACGGGGGGTGGCTGCTGCTGTCTGACCCGTTGCTCTGTTTGCCTCCTTGTTGGTTTTGAGTTGTGTGAATATAAAGATAAAATTTGCTTTGTGTTCTCAGATGACAAGAAAGCTTCAGACCTTGTCAACTTAGACGTTTTAGACGAGAGTGTGCTCGGCCTTGCTGTCGAGCGCTGGTCTCTTATCACTTTTACTGCTTTTGAAAATGTAGCTCAGTTTTGCAACATTTCGCCACTGATTTGCCAAGTTTTCTCCAAAGGGATTCTGCAGATATCTTTAGATCTCGAGCTGTGCTCACCCAAGGGAGCGAGTTAAGGGTAAACAATGCGGGCACACAGAGGAAGAAAGAAATATCAGAGGGAGTGCGGCACAGCACCGAAGCATGAATACATTTTCACATTTAGAACTGAGACAGTGATGTTTTAAGAGGGGAAATATCTTTCTGAGAGAATGAGTGAAGCCTTTTCTATCCATACCTTCAGTATTTTCAACCGCAATAAACTGAGCCATTCCGCAGCAGTATAAACAGAGACACTCTCTGTGCCGGAGCAAAACAGTGCGTGCATTTGTTTGTTTCAGTTGTTAATAAAGCTTTTACCGAGAGCCTCGGCCCTCAGAAAAAGCCCATTCTGCTGAAATGACTTGGCAAAGCATCCGATGGAGGGTCTGTTCAGACTGAAGCTGCTCCCGCTGCTATTGTCTAGGTCTCTCTCACACACCTACGAGACCAGAGTAAGCACACAATTTCATTGTTGCGTGAGCTGTTAATATCAGAGGCTTCACAATAGAGCCCATTCGCCATATTTGCATAAGGCACTTTTCCAACAAGGACCCGGAGAGGGCTTGAAAGCTGGCCCACTCCAGTGCCAATGGCAAAAAAATGTCAAGTGCCAATTAGGAGAGGTTTGCCACCATTCAGCAGTACCCCACCCCTGTAGTCCTTCCCCTCCCTGCTTATCCACCCCAACTCTCTCACACTCTATGTCACCCCTGTTTTTACCACCTTATTCCAATTTCAGACATAGCCTTCCCCTTCCGACACCCAGAGACAAAAGCTGGCTCCCTCCTCTGCTGGCTAATGGAGGATCCTTTCTGTTGGGCTCAGAGTATTAGTAAAATCAGACAGCGTGTTCTGTTCACCGATTAGTCAGCTTTCTTTGTTGATTTCTTTGAATAGAAGGGTTCACGAACTATGCGGCTGAACCTGCAAGATATGGACTTCACCTGTTAGTGAATATTGAACTTAGCAAGGTGGCTACATTGTGCTAGTGCTGGTTTTAGACTCACAGGTTTGCATGCACAGGTGTAGGTAATTGAGGGAAGGATTTTGCTAAAGAAAGATGATGATTTCAAGCAATTAAAAATAACGCCTTTCATCTGATTTCCACAGTAGTCAGTCTGTGTTAGTGTTAATAGCATTCAGCCACCCAATGACTTGCTTTAAGTTAGCCCTTATTTTGCACTGATGCACATACAAATACAGAACATCCTACAATGCAAATGGCTGCAGTCAGAGGCTATTGGAATTGAGAGCACAGGCTTTGTCACTGTTAAAGCTACAAGAAATGCACTACAGTCAGATTTACCGGAGCCACGTCAAATTCAAGTTAGCTGGGTGTCAACAGTGTTGAACAACTGTTTGCAATTCTACCGATGCTGAAAATGCAGCATTATTTCCACTAATGCTTAACTGCGGCTGTCAGATGCAAAGTACGTGGTGACAGGAATGTAGAGCATCATCAGTGCCCTTGAATTTAAATAACATAGTGTTTACATCAGGAAAGCCTTTGCTACAAAAGGCAGACATCAAATAAATAAAAACAACCTGGTATCCTGTAAAATGACGAGGATGCAGCAAATTTAATTTGAAAAATTAGGTCGCAGACACAATAAAAGCTAATCGTGTTTGTCCAATTGGGCTACTGTTGTTTTCCACAGAGCATTTACCTAACTTACCGCCTCCTGCCACTCAAAAGGATTTTTCTCTTGTCCCTTTTTCTCTTTCATTCTTTCATTCAATCTCTGTGTCGAGTTTTTTTTTTCTTTCCCACCCTTGATTCTCAGATGGTTGGATCTGATTTGCATGCATTTGCATAATGAAAGTCATTTGCATGCTCAGGGGCAGACTGTACCATGAGAACAGACATGAAAAGGTGTGTGTGCATGCGTGTGTGTATACACATATTCATGTGTGTGCATGGCTTACATTCGTATGCTTCCGTGAACTATACATGTGCGTTTTGATGGATAAACTACGTTCTTGAAATTTTCCCTCTTGCCCTCTGATTTTCCCTTCCCTGTTTTCTGTGCAGGCTACCACCACCACACCACTGAAGGAAAGCTGGCAAAAGGAGACTGAAAAACAGGGAAGCAGGAGGAGGAGGGGTTGCTGTTGATTCTGCCCTCCCTCTCTCCTCGCCCTCCTCTGCATCGCCTCTTCCCTCCTCCTCCCTTCCTCCTCCGCTCCATCCTCAGCAGACTGCCCTTTTTTCCTGTACAGCGAGACGCAGCCCGCGCCACCATCTTAGAGCAACGCTGGCATGAAATGGAAGTGGGAAGACCAGTCAGTGCAGGTAACACACCAAACCCACTACGCCCGCCATGCTGCATCTTTCCACTGGCGCCATCACGACCCTCCATCCTCTCCTCCGATTCCCCCAGTGCCTTCACTCCCCTTCTCCAGCGGGCTATTGCCTCCGTTTTAATCACCTCGGATATGTTTGTTAATTGCACGATTCACAAAATGCAATGATGGGTGGAGGGGAGGGTGAGTTGATATGGGCGGAGTGTGTTTTGTATGTGTGTTCACATTAAATCACTCTGCTCTCAATGCCTCTCTCAGGAGGCTTTCAGTGGGCATCTGTCCTCTGAAGCGCCATGTTTTCTTTCCCGTTTGGGAATTCTCGTGCCATCCTCGCATGCGTGCCCTGACATGGCGGCGGCTGCCATTTTGGAGATACGATGCAAGCAGTGCCTTCTTGTGCAGTCTGCTGTAACAAAGTTATGACTTTTAGATTAATTCTAAAAAAGCTTTCTCTTTCACCTTAAATCAGGTCAGAAGAAATGTCAAGGTGGGCACATCTGTCAGTCGGAAAGTGATGATATCCATGAACCACTATTCTTCTTACAGTGACATGTAACACAACAAACACAAAGCAGGAGAGAGACAGAGATGATAGAGAAGAGATGGTGTAGAAGTGAGAACATCGGACGTTGACAGGCAGAGTCTCAGTAGTGGAAAGCCTCTCATAGTGCAAGTGGCCAGTGTTGGAGGGCAGTCGGTGCTTAGACAAGTTGAGTATTGTTCTCCCTGAGCGAACTCGTTATAGTACAGCATTATTCCAACCAGGGAGCTCCCAACTTTAAAAACCGCTTAAACCAAAACACCAATTAGTATCAGCTGGGCTTGATTAAGTAAGGCAGCCGGTAAACAATGCGCGCTATTGTCCTTGCAACAGAGAGACCTCCCTTTGTTTGTGTCTGTGGTGTGGAGGTCAGAGACACAATGCAAATGCTAACTTACAGTAGGGTGCCAGGCTACAGGGCTAACAGTGGGACTGCTGAGATCCCCTGTTGTGTCAAGGTGAGAGAAGAAAAACAGATTGTTGCTAAACACAGGAAAGCATATTGTCATCGAAGGTCCAAGGTGGCTTTCACAGTTTATGAGAGAAAGTTTGGCCAAAGTTTGAAAAAAGTGTTTCATTTAACTGAATCCTTTGTTCCTAAATTTAAACACTGATTTCCAATATTTACACAGACTAAATTTGAATTGATACCAGTTCTCAAATTAGGTCATGCCAAGCTTTTAGCATTTACATATTTGACGACCCTTTAAAAGCGGAGGCGTCGCTTGGCTTTCCTGAGAAGTGCTGTGGTAACTGTGTCAAACCCAAAGCACACTAATCACGGCCAGGCCTCCATAAACAGGTGGTAGATTGAGCAAAGGGGGCCGGGGCCATACTCAATTTACTGTGTAAATTATGCAGAGCCCAAAACAATACAAACAGTAGACAGTGGAGTGGCTGGCGTTGGCTAATGAGATGATGAGAAGCCTGGGAGGGCTGGGAGCTAGTCGAGGTGAGGGGGTGGGCACGGCCAGCAGCTTGTGTCTGGATCTGTGTATTCGTGTGTGTGTCTTCGTGCAAGTGTGTGTGAGGGTCTAGAGGAGCTTTGGCAGGGGAGCAGACACTGTCCCGTCTCCACAAACCCCATCGTCAGCACCCCTCCTGCCTAGACTGTGTGCTGCACAGAGAGGGGAGGGTTAGCAGGCAGCTGGGGCACCCTGCCCCCATTGCTCAAGAGCACCAGGCTTGGGAACCTCTGTGGCAGGGGTCCCCCCATCACTGGCACGTAGGGGCCCCCCAAAAGTCTGGCTGCAACCCCCCATCACCACCATCCCCTCCTCCCTCTTGTCTACCCAACCACCACCACCCTAATGTGAGGCTGGGGGCCTGGGAAGGACTTCAAGTTCATGGCCAGACCTCCTATTGAGCTGACAGCCTGACTGTTTGCTCAATTCGGCTCCCTATTCAGAGCCGTGCTGGAGGGGGGAGTGTTGAGAAAGGGCTGGAAGAAGGGGAGGGAGCTGTTGCTAGATGGGACACCATACCACTGTGATAGCTATTCATTCAGCAGGGCGAGACAAGTAAAGAGTGAGGGTGAAGAGGGATGGGGGGTTTAAGTCGGGGTGCATAAATAAAAAGTGAGGAATCCGGGCTCAAAGTTTGCTTTGAGCGGTGTGCGCCTCTCTCACACTCTTTTAGACTCTTAATTACCGGCGCCTTCCACTTTTCTCTCTCCCTTTCTGTAACTTCACCCCCCCATCCCCATCACACACACACACACACACTCCTGAGCACACACACAAAATCACAATCATTCTCATCATCCCCTCTATCCCCTGGTTTTATTAGGCCACATGCTGGGGCTGTAAATTTACCATTAACAAGCTTATTCACTGTAGTCCTCTCAACAAAACAAGACCATGATGCCAATAACTCAAAGCGACACCAATACCCAAACTGCCTTTTATACCACCAACCTCCTCTGTTAGCCACTCCCCCCCTCCCCCCCGATCCTGCCAGACTGCACCCACTCTGAACAACGGCGTAATGCTAAATGCCAAGTCTAACGTGATGCCTGCTAATAGCTCAGGCGATGCTAATTAGCACAATGGTTGTTGATTTCTGCCACTAAGCTGGATGGCTACATTATCGGTTCACTCTGCACTCAGTGACCCGCTGTAATATTTTAAGTTGCTTGTCTGAGCTGCTTGAAAATGTAACAAAAAAGGGGGTCTGATAGCCTTCTGAAGTCCAACTCAGTCTAGCTTAGGGTGTGTCACATGCTTCCTCTTTGTATTAGCAGCTCGTAGCGTACCAGGCGCCTGTTAAGGCCTTTCAGCTTCAGCCCCAATCCCTTCAGTTGGCACATGGAGCTTTGCTTAACATGGCCAGATTTAGGACATGCAAGAAATGCCCCCATAGGTTATTTTTCATCTTTAGAGAACGAGGACAAGCCTTCTTTTGAAACCCAAACAAATTGGCATTCACAGTCTACTGTCTCAAATAATTGTTTTGACATTCACATGATTGGCCTCACAGTGTGTTTAAACTCACTCTGAGGAACTGAAGCTGTGTCTTAATGTCGTCTTTCTCTTTGCAGCAGAATGTTGTCGGTGCAGGGGGATCCGAAACGGCTGGAGCACACAACGAAGGAATAACAGGACAACTCCTTCAGCAGCCGTTTGCCGCCTTCCAGCGTGGACTAAACAAGGATGACGACGCGGATGTCTGTCAGTGGCGGCAAATTCCTGCCGTGACTTTGGAACATCGCCACACTATTGATGCTGCTGTGTGATGCATTATTTTCCCCAACAGTCAAGCTGGACTGTTTGTGAACGTGTTGGTTCACGGTGGACTGTGACTGTGGGAAACAAGGCTCAGAGAGAAGATTAGCAGCTTGAGGTGTGGACAAACTGGTCCATAATTGTGACTCTTGCTTTTGTATTTTGAGGGTGTGGCACTCTATTTTGTAATACTTATATATTTATACATACATATATACACATTTGCCTATAAACAACAGTACTTAGACATGAGTTAGGATCAACTAACATAGGCCTGACTTACTGCAGGACATATTTGATGAGTTGTAGCCCACATTTAGTTCGATTTCTGTTTTGTCATAGTTGCTAGGACTCAAAGACACGTGAATGTGAGACCCACGGCAGCAGTGAATAATACTGCACTGCGATTGGACAGCTCCGTGTGTCGGTTGACACAATGGTGAAGGAGTGAGCTGTCGTCTTTATACTCTATGCAACTGTTTTATCTGTTTTTGTTTATTTTTTCATCCATAAACCCAGTTGGGCAGAGCCCCTGTCCTCCTCACTCGGGATATTTTTGGGCTACCACTTTATTCCTTTAGACATAATCAAGAGAAATGTTTTTTGAAGAGACTACATTCCCATTGTTAACATACTGATCCAGAAATTACAGTCAGTCTGTGTGAGTGTGTGACTCAGTTTCATATTGAGTCTCATATTTGCAGCCTTAACAGACAGTGATTTGACTGTGAAGCCATGAGAGTAAATGTGGAACCACACGTTTAAGATTCCTGATGGCAGAAGTGTGTTTGATCAGCAGGAAGTGGTTGAGCATGGCTCATGGCTGCATGTATACAGAACACGCCACACTATTAAAACCTTCCCAGCAGGCTGTGAGACGCAGCAGTTTGGTTCATAGCAGTTACCTGCTTGGCTCTAATGATACATCTTTGGGTGAGACATGACAAATACATTGGCTTCAAACACTGCCTTAATTTCCTGCCCTTGACATTAACACACACACACACATACGCAAATGTAATAAAGCAAGTACTATCGCAGCCTAATTCATTCCATATTAATTTTCGGGAAGTGGCAAATTTTTTATTACGATTGATAATCTATGCAAATCTTTTAAATATTACTTTAAACAATCTATGTCTATGCAGTGCTTCTGCAATTGATTCAAGGGAGACTATCTTGGCCTAATTTAGAAAATGTATTCTTTTGATAATCATGCACATCCCAGTGCTCAAGACAATTACTTATCTGCCTGGATAAGCTTGAAATTATGTTTTTAATCTTTAGCAAAAAAAAGTCACTCTTCTGATATCAGTCCAGAGGCATGAAAATCATGAATTGTGGTCTAAAATAATTAAATCGCTTGCACTACATCTCTTTTTTCCTTAAATGCAGATCAAACATATCTATTCAGCTATGCCTACGCATAGCTTATTGTTTTATATAAGCAGCAATGGTTGTGTTATGCAATCTAATCGCTGTGAATGAGTGTTCACCACATGTGCCTTTGTATGGAAAACTGTGTTGGAATAGTAATAAAGGTTTACATTGAAAACAAGGGGGAAATGGTTGTTGTGCATGTTTTTTCAATTTGATCTGCATGTGATCAGGTGGCAGGATCAGTTAGTGATTAATGGTCGTACATTCAGCAGCCACATGTGCTGCTGGAGTGCCCTTGAGCAAATCACTGAGCTTTGTCTCTATTCTGTAAATCAAAAGTCATATAATGCATTATAAAACTTAAATGTAAATGTCTAGGGAGACAAGATGTAGATTTAAGCTTACTAAAACAAAAAGAAAATCTAAATTTACCCATTAGCTGGCAGCTTTCCTTAAATGTTTTGCTTTTTTTGTGGTAGTCACGTCTACAGAGATAATTCAGTTCCAACATAATGTTACAGCCAAATGAAAAGATTATCACAATTCCCCTGAGATCAAGTAATTTTCAAAACACCATCAGGGATGTAGGTTTATTTTCTGTAGTGTTTGGCATCAAGCTACAAGGGAGAAACACAGTAGAGCTCTGTCCTGTTTCAAATGTGAAATGAATCAGTGTTTTCTGTAATAAGCAATAATTGTCGTATAGATGAGTAATAAGCCAATATGCATCTTTACACATTACACACACACACTTTATTCCAAATTTGTGTAAGACAAAGAGCACAATAACACCCTCATCCTGGAATGTGATGATCTGTGTGCAGCACAGTGTGGCGCAGGCCACCGTGTGCTGAGCAGAACACTTACCCTGCGTGATTTGCTGTCTGGCACCACATATGGCAAACGTACTGACACCGACATATGGGGCCCTCACAATTCATTAGCATTGTCATGTAAAAGAGAGTAATCCCACTGTAAAACAAATGAAATGTAACCCTTTACAGTACAGGTTGATCACGCAGCTCTTTTCATTCATCCCCCTCTTTTATGAAGTCTTGTGTAATTCAATGAAAGAGGTTTTTAACTCAGCTCCAACGCACCCCCTTGGGTGTCTGCATCCACAGTGCGTAGCAGCAAAGGCTTTACAAGCCACTGTTCTCTTGTTTACAGCTGCGCTGCGTATTGAAATGAGCCGTAGTACACATAAACAGCAGCTCCATGCAAATATTGCAGTGCCCTTATTAACCAGGGCAGGCTGCAATTACATTATGTCCCAGGCGTTAACATCCACAGAGCGAGCGTCGGTCCTCTGTGACAACTCCCCTCGCCCTCAGTGTTTCTTGGCGGCGTTATGGCCCTCATAATCTGATTCACAGTTTTTGTCATGCTGCCAAGAGGCAAGTTGCATTAGCCAAGCACTATAGGCCTTAATGAACTGAGTGTCGATGTTAAGCACACTAGAGAATGCTGGAGTGACAGCGTACAACCAGGCTGTCATTTGCAGCCATGTTGGATCACAGTCTAAGTTATAACTGTTCGCAATCAGAGGTTTGGCAGGTCTCTGAGAAAAAAAGAAAAGCCGTACCCTCCATTATGCTTGATGTGTTGAGCATCCTAAAGGAGAGAAAGTCTTGTGTGTAAGGAGCTGCCCTCATGGAGTTAGGGTGTGGCTTCGTTTTGACATACAGCACAAAATGGCTGTTCGCTACATGCCATCCGGAGACTGAGGGGATCAGATTCCAAAATGGCGCCGCGATGACATTAATGTCACTTACGTCAGATCGGATCATTAAAAAATGGAAAGGCCGCACTAGCAGCCACAATGATTTGATGGACAAATACAGTACACAAGAGCCGATGGCAGGGGGCATTCAAAGTGGGAAATAGTGGGTTTTGGTGCACGTCCAAGGTCTAGCAACTCGGGTGCTGCTCCTTTCACAAGTTCCTCAGAATCATCATTGGTATGCAGGAATGCACCCCTAGTAGGCCATTCTGTGTGATTTTGGAGGGAAACATGTTTGCAACCGCTCGGTAGGACAGAGGATGTGTGTTCCTTTGGATCCGACAATGGTCAATGCCAAGAAAAAGTGGGCATCTGTCCAGATCTGTCCACCTTTGTGAGCTGCCTCCCAGTGGTGTAGCCCGGCAATTCTGTTCAGTGAGCAAAGACAAAATGGCTTCTTTTGCTTTGAAGAGCATGTTGTCCTGATAAATGTCCAATTATAATAAAGAAAGATGATGAATAAAGAAATGTGTGTGTTGAACCAGACTTTGTTGGATAAAGGTTCCAGGATTTCCAGGTTCAGTCTTCGCAGTGACACCATTGCCACATTTTAGTATACATAAAACGCGCCGCTGACCTGGGTAAAGTTGTGTTTTTTTGGTGATTCCATTTTGAATCTGTTCACTCATTACACGACTGCTCCACTTAGATTAGACAAAACATGCAGGAAAATGCTTTATTTTTGCTAAAATTACATAATTATCTTTTGGTAATGAAGCTGAAAGAAGAGAAAAATGAATGGTATGCCAGTATGGTGCATTCAGGTGTTACCCTACATATTTGCTAAATGAAAAGAATTTCTCTATCTGAAAAAAAGCCTGAATAAATTTCAGACTTTCTAAATGCAAGATGCTTTAGTTTGATATTCTGACAGTGTTGTGACCTGTGATTGCTTTACTTGCTCCAGGTAAAACCATCATGCCTTGAACTTCGTACCTTTCGTACACTTTACTTGAATGTTGCTGCTTTAATTCCCAGTAGAGAAGATATCTGGAAATCTTACGTGAGCCTGAGCTAATTTGCAGAGATTTTGTTAAGTTACAGTTACCATTTCAACCAGTGTTTGAAAGTAACAAAGTACATTTGGTCAAGTCATGCTTACAATCAGATTATAATTTTACAAAATATGCATGGTTATACATTAAACTAGGGAAAATAAGCTCTACCATTACCTGTAACAACGCTTAATCCTATTTTCATATTAAAGCATGAAATAATATGATAACATAATAACATTAGAACATTGATATGTTCCATTATGTTTGCTTATAATGCAGGAGTTTAACTTGGTAATCTAATGTCTTTATTAGTACTGGTGTTTAATGCTTCTTCACCACTGGTTTCAGCAGCATTTAAATTACAATATTTCAACATGTAGTCAGGTCCACTTCGCATTGAACTGCTGTTGGAGCAATGATTATCCGTTACACCCAAATATTTCAATCAAATTTAGCCCCGTGTTTACCTAGACATCTAAAAGTCTTTTGACCAATCAGTGCCTACAGGACACATGACATTAACATGGAAACAGGTCAATCGACATACATGCGCAGAAGTGAAATACACTAGGAAAGACTTCCTTGCTGCAAGTATTTTCATAATTACACTTTTGTCAGTGGAAAACCTCACACTTCAAATTCATCCAACGGGTAACAGAAGTGCCTGCAGTGCTTGAGGACCTTCAGTCCCTTAACTTAAGTCAAAACATGAAAATCGCCTAAATGAGACTGACAAGGTTTTCACCTGACAATGATGATATTTCAAATTCAAATTTTGTCATGTGTACAGGTAGGATGTAGCTTTGACTATAACACTAAGCTTAAAATCCACTCACACCCTGAAGCAATTTCTTGGAGCTTATGTATTTATATAATGAAGGAGAAATACTCGGGGAGGTTAGCAAAACTTGCAGCTCAGGCCTGATGAGTTAGACGTCCGGATCACTGAGGATGCTTTTCTTGAAGGCGAGAGAGCCCTGTTGTGGAATGTCAAGTAGTTTGGCCGGGGCGGGTGACTGAAGCGGGAAGTGATTTGACTAATGTTTTCCCTTTCATAGCGCTCCTCTTCACCACGTCCCCCTCCATCCTCCCCAACCGCCAAAACCTCCCCAGAAAACTTTACGGTGATGTCATTCATATGCAAAACAGGCGTGCTTTCAGCGGGTGAATGTGTGTGCATGCGTCTGTGAGCAAGTCTGTATGTGTGTGTGTGTGTGTGTGTGTTTGTGCATGTGTTGCTTGAGTGGCTGATTCCATTACTTGAAGGACCATTACACTTGCCTGTCAACAGCCAAAAGACCTGAGAAAAATTAGCAGATTAAATCATTCAGCTACTCTCCTCCTCCTCTTCTTCCTCTTCTCCCCTGCAAGCATCCAGACTGTTGTGTCGCACCACGGAGGTGTTTTGACAAAATCAAAAATGTAATGCATCTCCTTTGAAAGTCGCATCAGTTTTTGATCAGTGACAGGCCCTAATATTGGCGACAAATCTCTCAAAAATTACAAAAAAAATAAAAATAATGATAATGGTCCAAGACACAATCAGGACAGAACTCCTGGGAAACTGAGTAGCTAGGAGGCTAAATCCTATAAACAGGGGCAAACAGGGAGACTGGAGCTAAATGAGGTTTTACAATCTTGTAGAATCAGATAACACAGCAGCATTCAGGGTTACTGTACATGTTTATTGAGGCAGTTGGGTGAAAGGTGAAATGTCGCAGAGGGTTCAGCAGATTGGTTAGGGTTTTTTCAGTGAATTCATAAGACACATCAGCTCTGTGACTGTTAAATCACCAAAGTCACACCACAAACATACAATCATAATCCTACAATGCACTCCAGAGGTTGCACCTAGTTTTAGTCTTACGGGATGACAGGACTCCAGCAGAGCTTCTCCCTTCAAAAACAAAAGAATAAATCCCACATTGCAGAATGTGGGAATGAAACCCCCTTGGGTCAGATTAGCATTCTGAGAAAACAAAATTCCCCTCTGGGGCGTTTGCTACAGACCAGATGGGTGTACCCCAAAAATCAGCCACACAGGGGGAAGTAGGGCTGAAGAAGAAGAGGCTTGGCCCCCGGGGAAGGTGGAGGAGAGAGTGTGGAAGGAAGAGGGGGAGGTTGTGAGAGAGGGGCGCGAAGAGTTAATGCCGACAGCTCAACAAAGGCTGCCACCGTCACAGAGGCCAGAGAAGAGCACGGGAAAAGAGCTAAGGTCAAGGGGACCTCAGGGGGTTCAAGTTCAAGGCGACTGTCAGTGTCTGCATTTTAACAGCCGTGCCACACCCTCCGAGTACTTATACTTCCATTTGCAACAACAACCGCACCCCCACATCTCCATTTACTCCCCAACATTAAATCTGAAGCTACACACAAACTAGCCATTGTCTCGATGT